TCCATGAGGTTGACACAGGCCCACCACTCCTGTCTGTCAAGGTCCCTCTAGATGCTATCGCTTCCCTCCAGTGCGTCGACCGCAACACACAGCTTGGTGTCGTCAGCAAACTTGCTGAGGGGGCACTCAATGCCGTCCTCCATGTCAACTGAACTCCATGAGGTTGACACAGGCCCACCACTCCTGTCTGTCAAGGTCCCTCTAGATGCTATCGCTTCCCTCCAGTGCGTCGACCGCAACACACAGCTTGGTGTCGTCAGCAAACTTGCTGAGGGTGCACTCAATGCCGTCATCCATGTCACCGACAAAGATGTTAAACAGCACAGGTCCCAACACCAACCCCTAAGGATCACCACTCGTCACTAGTCTCCAGTCAGACATCGAGCCATTTACTACCACACTATCAGTGTGACCATCAAGCCAGTTTTTTATCCACCGAGTGGTCCATCTGTCACATCCATGCCTCTCCAGTTTAGAGACAGGGATGTTGTGTGGGGCAGTGAGTCATAACAGTGAGTGAGATTTTAAACTATTTTGATAAGTAGAGATGCAATAAATCACTAATTGAGTTAGTATTTCCAGTTTCCTACAGTTTATCTTGACACTCATATGCAGGAGTGAAATTGATTTTGTTTGTGATCAGTAGTGAATAGAATAAAATACCTTTTATTGTGAAACAGTAGTAATATTCAGCACTCTTTCAGTATGATAGTTATGATTATTACTTAGTGATATTTAGGATATGAGGTTCCTCCACTAAGTAGAGCAATATCATTCTTCACCTGACTAGCCCTTCATGAGGGGTGAAAGTGGGAAAGAAAAAGTGATTTTTAAGGTGTCCCTAAAGGATGACTTTTCCTGAAGGAACTTTTTCCTTTTTAATTTTTAATAGTATTTGTTGCTCTGCTGAGTATTGTGGCTGTACGCAGCATGAGGCCCAGTGTCTTTTCTATCCCAGTATACCCAGTATCAGCCTTTGACACCATGCTGTCATAAAGCATCCTCTGTGCACGTATCAAGACGATATAATTGAGCCTGGTGTTATTGTATGGCAGTGGTCTACATAATCTCAGATGCTCTATGGTAACTCTTGGCAACTGCTGACTTATTAATAGTGAGCATTGTATACTGAACACCACTGAAACCCATCAAGACTCTGTGAAAGATGTGTTTTCTCTAGCAGGGTATACTGAGTGAAGCTATGTATGATATGACAGGTATCGCTCGAACAGAATGCTAGGCTCAGTCCTGAAATCCTCTGCATGTATCAGCTTGTGCTTTCACAGACTTACAAAATCAAGTTCTCAGGTTCGGGAAGCTCAGGCAGAGCAATCTTATGCATCTGAAGAAAGTGGTGTTATTTCTAAAAAAAGATGATGTGATCTCATCTTGCTCACGTGCATCAACACCTCTCAAAATCAAATCACTTATGTCTTCAAGGCTAGGCTGGATGAAGCTTTGAGCAACCTGGTCTAGTAGAATTTGTCTCTGCCCATGGCAGGGAGTTTGGAACTACACGGTCTTCAATGTCGCTTTCAACCCAAATGATTCTATGATTCTATCCACAGTTAGGGAGTTAATGCAAAAATTGACCCAGGCTACTGTGAAGTAAGTCTACACTAGGTCTCAAATGTAAATGAAGATAGGAGAATGACATTGCCTATGCAGGCAGAAATAGAAAAATATTGATATAAGAAGCCTTTTTTTTTTGGCAATTAATTTTTTTAGGTCAGTATTGACTAATGATCATTGTACAATTAGGGCTTGTAGGTGGCCCATGTACTGTCTGCTGCTGGATTCTAAAAGGCAAGTCTTTTTTCTCTTGCTGGTGTTAGTTTGTGCAGCCTGTTGAACCACATATTTAGTTATTCAATCTGTTGATTGTCTTGCAGAGAAACAAGCAATTTTGAAGTCTGGAGTTTCACCTTTCATCTAATTAGAGAGCTAGTCTTTGGATATAGGCAGCTTTACAAGGCACATGCTGTGAGGGTTGAGGAATCATCTCTGAGTCTGATCTATCTGTAGACAGTGTAATTATTTTTCACTATTGTTACAAACAGTAGGCTTTGCTCTTCAAAGGCAAAAGATTTTTTTCTTGCCATATGTGAAACTGTTTTGCTTTTTTAGGACTTTGGCAGCCAGTGGACCTGTGGCATATTTTGCTGGAAATACTTACAAAGCAAGAGGTGTTTGTGGTTGGATTCAGTCCACTTTTCCCTTAGCAAAGGGCTTCATTCAGTAGAGGCGCTACAATAATACTCAATTGTTAATGCAAAGCACTGTAGACACAATACGGTCCGAGTTCCACAGTGATGCCTGCTGGCATTTAATATGCAGTGTGCTTTTTAAAAGCAGATAGTGGAAAAAACAAATAGGAAAGTTATGTTTTAATGTTGCTGCATTGCAAAGAAAAACAAATCCCATGATCAGAGGATTATAACTAGTGTTTTGTATTATGATTTTTGTATAAGGCTTCAGACTGTGTCTATTTTATCATTAATTTTATACCAAAAATGGTTAGACAAAGGACTGACTGACCAGCATCCTTAACACTGTTGTGGCTAAGCATTTTGGAATGCTCACATGGTGCATTTGGAAACCCTTTGTGTGTGCTACATTTTTCCATTTGGTATGAGGCTTAGCAGTAATCAGCTCACCACTAATTAGAAGTCATTCTGTGTCCTGAACCCTATTATTACACAAAATTATGTCAGACCTTAAGAATTTTTACATTCAGAAGGAAAATAATCTACAATACCTTTTGGCATGCATTTCTCGAACATAAAGTTTGAAAATAAGCTTTTGCTGTTTTGAAACAGCCTTTATGAAAGAATCAAACCCCATGATTTTGCTGTATTTGAATTACTTTCTACTTTCACTTCTCTTTATTAATACTAGTGGTGAAAGTGAGAGGCATAAAAGACCTTTTTAAATCTTTACATGTATATATAAAGATCTTGCAAAACTATGAAACTCTTTATCCTATTGAGAGACTTGCATTCATCTTTGTAGATCTTAAACTATCAGCAGACAGGGAGCCTGGAATTAGCAACCCACGCAGCTCTTACATTACATCTGCAAAGTGCCTTCCTGTTACAGAAGTCAGGATCAGCCCTTATGTACATCACTTCAAAACTGTAATATGAAAGAAATTCACTGTTCTGGGGGAAGGCAAGAGTAGAGATGCAGATTTAGCTTTTTTCCTGATGTTAGTGATATTTTCATAAAGAGGTTTTATGAGCAGTGTTTTAAAAATGAGTCCTATGAGAATCAAAGGTTTAAACTAATTATGTGTAAGAGTTCTTCACAGAGACTAAAGGTGTTTTTATTTATGGTTGCAGGCCTTCACTGTGACAGTGTCTGTGCTGAGGGACAGTGGGGCCCTAATTGCTCATTGTCTTGTTACTGCAAAAATGGAGCATCCTGCTCTCCAGATGACGGAATATGTGAGTGTGCACCAGGGTACAGAGGCACCACTTGTCAGAGAAGTAAGAACAAAATCTCTGTTTCTCCCTGCCTGACTTGGAATACATGATACAATACCATAATGATTTATTAATTGTAGTATGAAGTACTATGAAGCATTCCTTAATTGCACATTTTGTCAAAATGTACGAATATACAGAAGTAAGTGTTATCTGAAATTAAGAAATGTTTCCAACTAGTAATACTCTTCTTGTTATGGTACAACTTACTTTTATTCACTGTTTGTGCTGTGATGTCACTATGCACATGACTTTCTAAGAAACAAATTTAATGGGAGATTCCATTATAAAGGCAAGCATTTCCAAATGTGATTGATGAACATTAATTAGTAAGACACACTTTGGTGGTTAAATAAAACTTACATGACTTTCAGAAGCTAGAAACCTTAGCTTCCTGTTGAGTCTCGTAGGAATCATTTACTTAATTGTGCCTTTTTTTTTTTTTTTAACACTTACTTTGAAGCATCAAAGAATGGCCAGTGGGATCAGGCTATCATAGGTACCCACAGTTGCATTTGAAAATATTGTCTATGTAAAATTTAAATGTTACAAGAATAGAGATACACATGACCTGAGGCAAATCACACTAGAAACAGGGAGGCAAAAAGAAGATGATGTGCAAAGCATCTACCATCCCAAGAAGATTGGTGACAGTTTGCCAGCATTTTAGCTGTCTTTAGTTAGAATTGTTGAACCTGTAAGGGAAAGGTGTTCAGAGAAGAGAAATATGAGTCCTATGCACTTGGACATCTATTTTCGGAGGAGGTCTCCCAGAAGCAAGGGTCAGAAGCAAGTAGAGTAAGGCTATTCTACTGGGGCCTCCAAAAGAGGCTTAGAAGGTATCAGATGACATGAAATGATTGCTAGAAAGCAAGAGGAGAACCAGAGGAGGATGAAGTCACAGCAGTCCAAGAATGACAAGATTTCAAGCTGAAGAATGTGATTGCCTATGGCATTACTAAAACCCACATTAGTGTGGTTTTAATCTTCTTTATGCATTTCTAAGTGCAGTAATTATTATCACTATCTAATCTCTAAAGGCCTTGCAGTTAATCAATTAATCCAAAGGCAGGCTAAGTGTAAAAATGTACATGTAAATTTTACATGTAAAAAAGTTCCCTGTGTTTTGGAACTGTGTATATAGACTTTCAGTCTGGTGGCTCTCAGGCCTCCTCTCTGATGCATGTGGTCTGGAGGCTGGGAAGACAAAGCTCATATGAATAACTTGGATCCTAGTCAGAAAGTGCCTTTTCAGTAAACAGGAAGAACTGTTGGCACTGTTTCACTTGGAAAAGTTAATCTCTCTACAGAGGTCTCTCTAGGCCACATAAATTATATCAGATGTATATGTTTTTAAAAGACAATTTTGAATGAAATTAAGATATTGAAAAGATTCCAGGTTAGTTTTCATCAGATTGCTGCTGTGCAACAGGTATTTCTCTTGATGCATTACCTAATACTCTAATTTATCAGGAAATAAATGCTAAAAGGGAATAGAGCAACAAAGAAGGAGATTCTTATGAGACAGCCTTTTTTTCTTGTTGTTTTTTTAATAAACCAGTGCCTTTAGCATAAGAATTAAGTGGAAAACTCTGTATTTCTGGTCTCAAGTTCTCTAAAGGTTAAGTGATGTGTAGCTGTCTGTACCATGTAATGAGTACAGTAAGTATCTAAATGAAAGGATGACTGGAAAACATTTGTAAGTTTTTCTCAGTGAAGTAATGTCTATTTTTATTCCAAATTAGGAAGCACATAAGGAAGTCAAGGTCTAAGATGACTCTACTCATCTACAGATAAAACTATCCACTTAATTTTTAAAAATTATTCTTCAGATCTGCTTTAAAAGATTTTCATATTGTAGAAGACATGTAATGTATAGCCAAATATGTAAAATATATCAAGCACATACATATTTCAAACATAACCCAAGTGTAGTGTGGCCTGACAAGTAATGGAATGTCAGCTGAGTAATTTCGAACTAGAATACAATAAATCCTTGAGGAAGATGAGCAAATCTCCTTTCACGAGTATAAAGCTTTGAACTGTATGCATAATAACAACCACCACTGCAACTCCTTTGTATTTAGAAAGCTAAGCTAATTCAAAGTCAAGAACAAGTGCACTGAAGAGTAGTTCATGGCTGTATAGAAATTGCAGGAAGCAATGACAGTTTGTTCTCTCTGACTCCAGTTTGTTCCCCTGGGTTTTATGGACACCGCTGCAGCCAGACGTGCCCCCAGTGTGTACACAGCAGTGGTCCCTGCCACCATATTACTGGCTTATGTGACTGCTTACCTGGATTTACAGGAGCCCTCTGTAATGAAGGTACAAGTTGTAATAAAGACTCTATGGAATGCAGTGACCAAGCACTATAATAATTTTCATTGCATCACTTGGAAACTATAAAACCCAAAATAGTTTCTGTTGTAGTATAGGCAGTTCATAAATTAAGAATCTTAAGCAGGTTTAAATTGTTTCAACATTCAATCCTTAAGTATGAAACCACTGTATTCTTATTTGTTTTATTTGTATAATGAGTATGGATAATGGGCTAACCAGAATTCATAATGCCTTACTTTAACATTATACCAAGCAGTACCCTTCTTGATCCAAATATCTGTTGCTTTCTCTTGAAATAAAGAAAATACAGTAATTGTTCTGATTACTAAGGAGTTCTAATTTTGACAACTTGTTCTCAGTGTGTCCCAGTGGCAGATTTGGCAAAAACTGCATTGGAATATGCACCTGCACCAATAATGGAACATGTAATCCTATTGATAGATCCTGTCAGTGTTACCCTGGCTGGATTGGTAGTGACTGCTCTCAGCGTAAGTATCAACCGTTTTTTCCTTTATTTTTTAAAATAATTAATCATGGTTCAGCTATTTAAATTCCCTATTTTTTGTTAAAGAAACACTGCCTAAGTCAGAGATGAGGACTTCATGGTATGATGAAGAGATCCTAAACTTTTCTTCATTTCATTGGCAGTGTAAGAAGTACAACTGCACTATGACTTTTCTAGTAAGTGGGCTGAACCATATGACAGGAAAGATCAGCTAAGAGTTGTAGAGAAGCTGGATCAGGCTTGTTTCTGAGGTTCATTGTGAAAAGGCAGGAGGCAATACTCACAAGTTGCAGCAAGGGTGACTTTTACTAGGTTTAAGTAAAAAAATCCTTATTGTGACAGTGTTCAAGCACAGCAACTTCCCGGAGAGACTCTGAAGTCTTCAGCCTAGAAGAGGTTGTGAAATTATCATCATTAAAGATCATTTGAGTAGCATTTTGGACTAAGTGTTACTAGAGATCTCTTCCAACATGAAAAAGTCTGTGACTTGATGAATCTTGCATTGCAAAGAGGGTTCTTGACAACTTGTTTGCTTGTCTGTAAATATTTGGTCTTATTATAGTAGTATTATGAACATCAGAGGGCTTGTATCCTCAGGACAGTCTTATGAATAACAGAGGTATTATTTTACAAGTAATGAAGTCAGGCACTGAAATACAGGGTTTTTTCTTACTACAGTTACACAGAGAGCTACTTGGCAATGCTCAGAACAAAGCCAAGATTTTCTCAGATACAAGTTAGTGCTCTGGCTTCAAGACCATCCTTATTCTTGTTAAACATAGAAGCATAGAATCATAGAATGGTTTGGGTTGGAAGGGACCTTAAAGATCATCTGATTCCAACCCCCCTGCCATGGGCAGGGACACCCTCCACTAGAGCAGGTTGCTCAAAGCCTCATCCAGCCTGGCTTGAAGACATCCAGGGATGGGGCTGAACATTTGAACATTTTGTTAAGAAATTTTTCACTCTAACTTTTTTAAAGTGCTTATACATTGTTGATGGATTTTTCTCTTTCTTTCTTTTATAAATGTTTCACAGATACACATTTTTAGTGTTGTTCTACCTTACTCGATGAGTATTGTCTTGGTAAGCTAAAGTCAGTGAAGACTCTGCTACTGACTTAAAAAGGAGAAGAGATAGGCCTGAATTTTATCATGTGTAATGGAGCTATTTTATTAGATAATCAGGCATTCCCCAGATGCCTTGTTGGGTCTATGCAAATTACTAATGACAGGAAAGAAATAACTGAAGCAAAATTCACACAAGATGCATATCCAGTTCCATAACGTACCAAAATCCATGCGGCCTGTAATATATGTGTGCCAAAATTTCAGCCAACCCATTTTTATGAGTAAGTGAAGCTGTACCAGACTCTAATATATCAAAACTCAAAAGTCTTTGTGCTGGGGTTTCCAGGGAGGTGCAGTTCCTAATAACATGCCTTATTGGTTTATATAATTTATGGTTTGATTGCTCCAGGTTAACTGTCTCTGTACCAGTGTGATGTAACATCTGGTCAATTTGGAAAAAAATTTTGCTGGCTAAATTCTGTGAAGTGATTAGCATGCACAACTCAATATGATACCAAAATAAAGCTTGGGTCTATTCCTGCATAAGCCAGTAACAACAAATATCCCTGTTTTTATGGTAAAATAAGTAGGTAGTTGGGAGAGTAGCAGAATAGGGGTATTTAGGAGGAGGAGGGACTTGCTCCCTGAATCAGTAACAAAAAAATGATGCAAGCATTATGAATGGAAGCATCTATTGAGGTTGTGCTCATGGACTGTAACAGAAGTAGTTTATTTGCTTTGTATAAAGGCCTTGGGTTCATTTGGAAAATAATGATTCTATTAATTTCTTTTGGAACTAGCGACCTTTTTGAAACTTCTAACCTTTTGTCTGTACGTGATTTACATTCCTTTTTAGTTGACGACTAATTTCAAACAAAAACCAGTAATACAAGCCATTACGAGGCACAGCTGAAGTGGAAAAAACAGAAACCAAACTTAGTACTTTTTTTCAACACAACATAGTGTATTTCTTAATGAGGTGGAATTTGGACAAAGATAACACTTTTTAAAAATACAGCCCATGCAAACATGAGTCATGATGCAAACATTTAAAGTATTCAAGAGTTTTTATTGCTCTGGACAATCAAATCAGTACACAAAATCTAAGGCTTCCATGTCTGACATATTTCTTCTCTCCAATGAAATACTCATGTTGTACTTCCACAAAACTATTTTTAAATTATGCATCCCTTTACTAAAGAAAAAAATGAAAACCTGAAGTTGTGAATCCTACTCAAGAGAAAGGGCCTATTCTTTGAGTATGCACTGCACTTAGTGATATTCTAACATGAATAACTTTTAACTTTGAGGCTTAAAAGGCATATCCCCTTGACTGTGCTCAATTGAAGTGTTTACAGATTAAAAAATAAATTAAGAAAGGAGACTTCCATGGCTTTCTCTATGAGAAAGCAGGTATGAGTGTCCTAGTTACTATCAATTATGTATCACTGGTTTCTTTCACACATTTAATCATTTTCAGCACTTCTTAGCTAGGATAAAATGGTTTCTTAGTTAAAAAAAAAAAAAAAGACAATCTGTGACTATTTGCTTAGTCTGGAGCAGCCAAAAATATGCATTTAAAGGAAAAACAATGAACTTCAAACAAAACAGCGGTTATATGTGTATGTAAGCAGCTCCATTCATGGAGTATCAAGGATCTTTGAAATTTGAGTTTAATTCATTCTTTTGGGTTGTTTTAGCTTGCCCACCTTCCCACTGGGGACCAGACTGCATCCACACATGCAACTGCCATAATGGAGCTTACTGCAGTGCCTATGATGGGGAGTGCAAATGTACCCCTGGATGGACTGGCCTTTACTGTACACAAAGTAGGTGACTTTTGTTATCCATTCTTAGTCTACAAATCAGTGACAGAATTTTCCTTCAGTATTTTCACAATTTATTAATTGATTTCTTCTCATGCTCCTGAACCTTTTTTCATCCAGAATATGCAACACATTACCTCCACGATTGCAGGGATTACATTCAGGCTCATCTTTAGCCTTCTTTCAGAGGAAGACAACCTTTGGCTGCAGCTGGGCATCCCTGTGGAAGAGTCATGTGCACATGCAGTATGAATGGCTGCCATTGAGGTGTTACCATTGCAGATGTGCAGAGCTTGTATCATGGATGGTGTCAGCTCTGCAAGCATTCCCCAGTGGGTGGGATGATGATACTGTCTAAATTCCTTCCCTCTCTGAAACCTCCCCAAGAGGTACTCTAACAGCAGGAACCCGACAACCAAGACTGCAAGATAACACAGAGCTAAATAATGCCATGAGAATAGCTTCTATCTTAGGTGTAGCTGTGGTCTGAGGCACAGTCCCTGTTGTCACTGCAAAGTGATCATACCGTGCATCTCCTAGCTGTAATTGCTACCTTCCGGGAGCAATTGCAACAACAGCTCAGCTCAGCACCTGTAATTCAGATACTAATATAGAAGCTATTTTATTTGGAACTTAGAAACTTCACTAGACTGTAATGTTATAATTGGTTTTGGGATTTTTTGGATGTAATTAATACCGATTTTTTTTCCGAAGAGCTTTTCACTAGAATAAAATTCCAAGCAGTGCAGTGACTAGGTGTAGGTATATGGCACTCATTATAGGCTGAGTAAGAGCTCATACAAAGTCTGATAAATAAACGTGTTAGAGACAGATATTGGCGAAGTTGGTTTCTTATCTTTATCATATGACAGCTTCATTTTGGTTTATCTTCAATCCAGGCACATCCACTGTCTGGGCACTGCCATTATCTTTAAACTCAAGAAAAGTAAGACTGCTAATGGTGTTTTGCATTCATGTTTTTCATAAAATCAGAACTCTCCTTTTTCAACTGAATAATGTCATAGTGGCAGGAAATAACAGATATATTATAGGGCCATATGGATGCAGCTCTGGAAGACATTCACTATACTGGCTTAGCTGTCAGCTGTCATGGTTATTTTTCTTCCTGCTGGTGAATAATGATCTCTTTGAGGTGGTATGACTTCTTCATACTGAAATAGTATCTTTGTGAGGAGCTGAGATACAGTATGTTATTATTTTTAATTTTTTTGTGCTTCAGCATCAACTGTGCACAAAATATGTCCAGAGTTTCATTCATCACTGAACAGATGCCCTGGTCTGATTCACAATCTGCCCTCTTTCTCCTCTTTCAAGTATCTTCTTTAACCCATTTCTTCGAGGAGCCCTTCTTGCTGCCTTTTTCTGAACATCTGCTGTCCACACAATTTTCTAACCAAATTTTTATGCAATTATTGCCTAGTGTGTATTTAAAACCACTTAAAATAAGGTAGGTCTTGATCTGCTGTGTTGGTACAATGCCATGTTGAGTAGAGAGGCTATAGAAATGACTTCTCAATAACATACTCAACCAGAATATTTGCATTTGTTTTCACTGCTGTTGTTTCACTCTTGTTTCCCCTTCCCCTCCTTGTATTGCAGGATGTCCCTTAGGGTTTTATGGGAAAGACTGTGTGTTGGTATGCCAATGTCAGAACGGAGCCGACTGTGACCACATCAGTGGGCAGTGCACCTGCCGCACAGGGTTCATGGGGAAGCACTGCGAGCAAAGTGAGTCAGGACAGGAATCATGCCTGACAGCAAAATATAAAACCCCGAGCCTCTGTTGTTTTGCCCAGTGTTGTGATACAACCTTGGCTTCAGTGGGAATTTTGCTGGGAAAAGAGCCTCAGGAGTTGGACCTAGGCATTTTCCAAACAGATAAAAGCCTTCAAAATTAGTTATTAAGATTGACTGTGATCATAGTGGGTGTTTCTTTCAATTTGTATCTACATGTAAGGGGCATTTGTACTACATTTTAGTTCCTTTGGATGTAATGCTAAAAAACCTCAGTAACTCTGTCATGTAGAAGTAACAAATGAATACAAGTAATTGTCATTAGCCTAAACCACCATGAGAACTAATTCTTAGAAAACTAAAGAAATACCACATCAAACCTAGTGAATAAAATTAATGTTTGCAGTGTGGTTTTACAATACAATTGGATTGTATATGCATAATAGATGACATTTTGTTTTCGCATATGTGTGATTTTTTACCCAAGAAAATCAAGAATAACACTACTGACATCAGTGATGGTATAATGTGCAACATTAAAAGAACAATCAGGCTCATAAGCTCAGAACTGTTAGTCCAACTTTTGCTAACATTAGAGTGGTGCTCCCACACTTCATGCATTATACTGCAGTGCAAAGCAATCCATTCAACCTACTGTTGTGAAGGTTTAAACCTGTGTTTGGCATCAACATTGTGCACAGGCTTTGCTTTTGACTTGTGGAGGACACTACGTGTTACATATAAGCAGGACTGATTCAGCTACTTCTGGATCTGAAGGGCTGTGCAGTGACCAAGATAGCATGTGTCACAGCTGGTAGCACTGCACAGAAAGGAGGGGAGGTTACTGTCCCTATAGACACACTTTATTCCCTCAGCAGTGGGTCTAGGCCCAGCTGCAACAGGAATTATGTTTTTACGGCTAATCAACATCTATGGCAGAACCACTGAAAATTTGGAAATGGATTTCCTTTTCCTAAGAAAAATGCAGTTGCAACAAAATATGAATGGTTTAGAGGAATATATTTATTTCAGTGAAATTATCACTTGCAACCTGGAATTATTTATTCTTTGAACTTCGTTATTCAACTCGGTTGATTTCATTGTTTCACTTCAAAAGAGAAATAATGTTTGGGAAAAGATAAACTCTTTAAGATTCTCTCTTCATGTTGTGATATCAAAAATAAGTTTGAATACTTTGGCAAATCTAACTTAATTATTGTGTTTTATAGACTATATTTTACCCTATAATTTGATAATAATGATTTAACAATATTAAACTAAGTGTTTTCGTATTTCTGAATTTGAGTGTCAGTTTTAAAAATTGTCTTTTCATTCCAATTCAGTTTTCAAAATGCCAAAATATATTATGGGTGATGGTTTTTGTCCAGCCATTGACTCCAGTAGTTATAATCTTATTTTATTGAATGTAACCAAGAGAAGGAGAAAATATATAAGCATGAAATTCCACTTGATTCTGGATTTATCAAGACTACATGAACATTCCTTTGTCACCTATTGTGTTACATTATCTTGTAAATCATTATAAATTAGGAATACATAAAAGATGAATTAGATTCTCTATGAAAGATAAAAAGAAAAATTAATATATTACAAAATTCCTGAGAGATTCCAGAAAATTGAGTCTCAGAAGGTGAAGTAACACCACACTTCCTCAAACCATCAGAACTACACAGTAACAGATGTGGCAGTATAAAAGAAATACTTTTTATCAGTGTAGGATAATTATCATGCTAATTACATGATGTAGGATACACTTTGAGTACTGAATTACTGTATTCTAATAAATTATTGTATTCAAATCATTCTGGGGAAAAAAAGTACAACTCTTCCTATTACCTTAATCTTCATAATTTAGCATTATTCTTCTGTTGGTAGTTTATCAATGTATACATTACAGTATCAAAGTATGCTATATGAAGCCAAGGACAGTTTTTTTTAAATATAAATGTGTGTATTAGACTCATGGCCCTTCTCTCTTGCTCTTCTATCACATCAAGTGACATGACATCAGCCAGATATTTGGCTCCACTCATACGATTACATGATTTTTTTAAGCACTGGGATCTGAGCAATGTGGGAGACCTCACATTCTGGTTAGAACTGACACTTAGTTCACATTTTGTCCATTTCCTCGCTGTCTTCTATGCTTTTAATCTCCCTGTCCCCCTACCCTCCCCTGCCCCAATTTCACAGTCTTAGTGGCAGCAACATTACACGTAGAGGAAGATCACTTCTGAACACGATTTCCTTCTTTTCCTTCTTCTTTCCTGTACATACGCACATATACACACACGTATATAGAGAGGTCCTCTTACGAAATTTTTTTCCATAGAGGTCTACCACTAATAACACTGCCATCTGCTGGCCATGTAAAAAACGTATGGGGTTAGAAACAAGGGTAGCATGTATAGTGCTATAAATCTGTAATACCAAAACATTTAAGAAGTACTGACTGTGTCTGATTTTTATTTGCACTTATTCGGTGCAGAATGTCCTCAAGGTACTTATGGGTATGGATGCCGGCAGATCTGTGACTGTCTGAACAACTCCACCTGTGACCACATAACGGGAATATGTTACTGCAGCCCAGGCTGGAAAGGGGCCAGGTGTGATCAAGGTAAAGCCTAGATGCGATAAAATTATTGTAGTTGTTTTATATAAAACTTGGGTTAACCTATTAAATGACAAACCTGTCTTCAAATTAAATTAATTAAATATAATTAAATTAATCTGATAAGGCCTGTATATGTAAATAGTCCATTCTATTAAATTATATATGTTCTGTAGATTTTGTAAGTATTAGGTGCCTTAGTGATAGTTTACTGGAGCAAAGCACTCAAGTGTAGATTCAGTGAAATGTTTTGCAGTCCTGTGCTGTCCAAATCTGCTGATAGAGCATGTGCTTTAACTGCTCTGTGCTTTTGCCTAGAGAATGTTCTTACTTTTTCAAGTCCATGAAAACATCTTTCTCTGAAGAAGATGAATACTCTTCCTTAAGGCTAGGATTGTCTTCCCATTGGTTTCTGGCATACTTCTATTTTGGCATTATTAAAAACAGCTAAATTAGCAGAAATATTTAGAAGTGAAGATTGTCTTTTGCTCCTGATACATAAACCTCTGAATTTACGCCATATATTTTAATTTCTTCTTGTATTTCAGCTGGTGTAATTATAGTGGGAAACTTGAACAGTTTAGGCCGCACCAGTTCTGCCATCCCTGCTGATTCTTACCATATAGGGACTATAGCAGGCATCATCATTCTTGTCCTACTTTTGCTTTTCCTGCTGGTGCTGTTCATCATTTACAGACATAAACAGAAAGGAAAAGAAACAAATATGCCCGCAGTGACCTATACCCCTGCTATGAGAGTCATCAATGCAGATTACACCATTTCAGGTAAGTGACATTTAGAACAGGGGTTTTTTCCTCCATCTCCGGACTTTTTGCTTTTTTAGCTGAGTTCTGAGGGGTTCAGATCTGCCTCTAACAGGACTTGAATATGCATGTTTCACTTTTCACATTAGCGAGGGCTGCTGTGAACAGGAACATACTAAATTTAAAAAAGATCATCTATAATTCTGCCTCAGAAGCCTTCCTGGAAAGAGAGGCAGGGGAGGGTTTCCCTCTTTAGGAAGAGAGGGAAGACTGAGAAACTGCTTTCAACTGCCTTTTGAGACCGTAGACAAGGGTTCTGAGGTACTGGCAGATGAGACCACTGGGATGCAATGATTGATTTGTGTGGTTAACTTTCAGCTATTACAGACAGTTCACCCGAGTTCAAAAGGATGCTGCCCCAGCATCCATCCATAGCTGCTTATTTTGTTCTGCGTTACAGTCTCTTAATCTCTGCTGTTGATACTGTGAAGGTGGCTTACTCTGGTAAAATGTGTTAATTGTAAGGGACAAGTGACCATATACCTCACTTTACTGTGTAACATTTTGCACCCTCAAGCGTTTTTCTGCATTAAACAGTGGAATTATGGACATTTGTATTTATATATGCCTATCTTTAAACAGAATTGGAAAATGTGGCAAAATATGGCTTTTACTGAGACTTTACATTCAAAGCCAACAGCTTGAATACAGAAAGACTTTATATAGCTGTAAAAAGTCAGGATTTCTTGGTAGCTGTGGCAAGGTTCTGTAGAGAAGAAGATAGCAGAGTGGCTTGAGTTTGAAATAAATGAAGGGAAGGAGCAGTGCTCCTGAAACAAAACAGTGTTTTTTGACTTATGAAAATGCATGTGAGTTGGGCTGCAATGGGTACATGAAACTTCAGGCAATGCTGTCTTTTGCACATAGCTATTAAGGAAGGCAGCAGGTAAAGAAGCCAGCAGAAACAGTTGTCAGAGTCAGGAAAGGTGTATCAGCAAAGCACTTGAAGCACCAGAAAATGTTCCTGTGAACTTGATAGTAAAGGTGTCTATAATCAGGACAGTGCTCTGACTACAGAGGGAAAAGAGAGCAAGGGACCACAGCAGAAAGAGGAATTAGCAAGTAATACTTGTGAATGCTCTTTGCTGAAAGTTAGGGCATGACTGTTCAGTTACTGCTATGTATCTCTAATTTCTATAAATGAGTTCAAGATTTTTAGATTTTTTTTCCAAGAAACTATAAACTAGTGCAGCACTGTCAAAAATATCTTAAGACAGAAATGCCATGTTATTTTTAATTGTTCATTTTCCTTTCTTTTCAGACACCATACCTCACAGTAATGGTGGAAATGCTAACAGTCACTATTTCTCTAACCCAAGTTATCATACTTTAACTCAATGCTCTACCCCTTCTCATGTCAACAGTATGGACAGACTGACCCTGGCAAAGGTAAAGCATAAAAATATGGATGCTTCTGTGCAAATTGGCCTTTGGTTTGTTTTACTTTGTTCCCTAAAGTTTAATATTTGGTTTTATTTTTTTCTTTCCTGTTTATCAACAGTTTCTATTACGTATCTTTTTTTGAAATAGGCAAAAAACAATCAGCTATTTGTGAACCTTAAAAATGTGGAACCTGGAAAAAGAGGCACCATCATGGACTACACAGGAACACTGCCTGCAGACTGGAAACATGGTGGCTACCTCAATGAGCTTGGTAAGAAAAAAAAAAAAAATTGGAGAATGTGATTATTATTTGTTGTGTTTGAGATGGATTGGAAAACATGAATGTTTTCTTGGTTCTCCACTCAGGGCAATGATAGGCTTGTCAGACTGGGTGTGAGGTTCAGGGTCATGGATTTGGGCTTCCTTCAAGGCAGTACCCTTAGAGATAAAAAACTGACTCCTTGTGAGAAACGGTGAATCAGTCTGATGCCCAGTGCAGCCATGATATGCAAAATATCTTGTTATTTTCATAAAAATATTTGCTTATTAAATAGTTTCATAAAACAATAGGTATTGTACAATAAGGGTCTGCTTTGGCAAAATTACATAATCTTACTAAATAAGTGAGATGTTTAATTCCCCACCACATGGAATCAGTGCTTTAAAAGGTAGTTTCTCATCATCTGACCTACTTCAGATGTAAATTCCAGGAGCAGACAGAGCATTGTCCTTAAGAAGAAAAATTCCCTGAGCTATGCTATGTTTTGCTGTCTTTTCATCCTTTCCCAATCTCATGCATTCCGAAAAGGCTGGATTGCACTGACCATATCTCTGTCCATTGAAAGCTTTGAAAGGGACTATCAGTGCCAGTATAATTTAGATATCTTTATTTCTGCTTGTTGTCAATATCAGATTCTGGGAATCAGAACAATTCAGCATTATTTTTTTTTCTGCTCATGCTCAGTCTCAGTCTTGGTCTAACAACAATACAGGCTCAGATCTGGCTTTTTGGTGGTGTGGGTTTTTTTTATTGGTTGGTTGGTTGGTTGGTTTTTTGTTGGGTTGTTTGGTTTGGTTTGGTTTGGTTTTGAGGGGTGTGTGTGTGTTTTAGAAAAGAATTTGAATTATAATGCTCAGTGTTCAACTTTATGTTTTCTTAGAGGATCTGTAGTAGCACTTAAATCTCCTAAGATATACTGGCTGTGGTCAAACCACTGCAGTAGATCTTGGGTAGTAGGGAGGTTCTAGAGGACTGGATGAATATTGATACTTAGTCTGTGTTCTAGAAGATCAAATGGATTAATTAGGTAACTCTAGGCTGGTAACCCAGGCATTAGTCTTGGTAAAAACAACAGAACAGCTGGCATGAGACCTAATAAATAAAGATGGGGTAGGAATAAAATTAATTAGTTTAAGTATCCTCAAATAACATTATTTAATTCTTGAAAACTGTGAAGTTTGTTCATAGAGATATTGTAGAAATTATTTTAAACTTTTGTAAGGCTTCTAGCACAGTACCACAAATACAATCTGACTGAAAAATTAGCACTCCATAATATCGGTCAAAGCTATTTCACAGGATTAGTAACCTGGTAAATGCCAGGTCTCTGAAGACAGTTGTCAAACATTGTTGATGTTTATATTGGGATTTATATTGAAAGAAATCTGTTTCTAACAGATAATTGCAAAGCTATAGACTTAGGTGCTAGGTGTTTAGGCCATTGTGCTGGATTCCGCCAGGAAAGA